TTTACAACCAAATTTACTTTTGTTTGCTTCGAATTTATTGTGAAATTTAAATCCCAACTTGAATCGCTTAACTGAGATTGTGTTCCATAGAATTAGAGCGTATTGCTGGTCCCTTAACGAACCTCACTATTCTACATTCGGATTAGTGATACCTACGTTTTAATCTTGAAACCGGATAAAAGGACAATCTAATTCTCATCAACAAAAAAAAAAAGATATCGGGGCCATGAGAATACCTTGACCGCTTCCATATCTTTATCTGCAATGATAGCCCAATAAACAGAGTAGTAAGCTTTTGAATATAATTTTGGTTATATCACAAATTAACCGTTTAATTAAAAGTTTTTACATAGTCCTCATGTAACAGAGTAGAAATAGTCAAAGGTACATATGGTAAAAGTATTGAAAATAGAGATTTTGAGTAAGCAGATGCTTTGCTCAAATCTAAGACAAATAAAATGTAAATTTAAACTAAATTTAGATTTCATCTAGGGTCGTGCCTTTGCACGGGCATTAATACTAGTAATTCCAATGAAGTCCATGATTAGACCTCAAAAATTCGCAATGGGCTTTTCGTTACTGATACGAAGCATATTTTTGACCCTTTTATTCTCTCTCGTCCAATCACGTTCGTACACGTCACCTCCGAACATCAAACTTCCCGGCGATTCTCTGACTCTCTCGGTCACCGATTTCGGCGCTACCGGCGATGGTATCAACTACGATACTTCTGCGATACAGTCCACCATTGACGCTTGCAATCGTCACTACACATCGTCTTCCTCAATCTGCCGCGTCACTTTCCCTTCCGGCAACTATTTGACCGCCAAGCTCCATCTCCGATCCGGCGTCGTTCTCGATGTGACGGAGAGCGCCGTGATATTAGGAGGACCGAGGATTGAAGATTATCCGGCGGAGACTTCGTCGGAATGGTACGTGGTGGTGGCGAATAACGCGACGGACGTTGGAATCACTGGCGGAGGAGCAATCGACGGTCAGGGATCGAAATTTGTGGTGAGATTTGATGAGAAGAAGAACGTGATGGTGAGCTGGAACCAGACTGGGGCTTGCTTGGGTGATGAGTGTAGACCTAGGCTTGTTGGATTCGTTGATTCCAGAAACGCTGAGATCTGGAACATCACTCTACGAGAGCCTGCGTATTGGTGGTCAGTTCTAATTCTAAACTCTGCTTATTGATATCAAGAACTCTCAGGAACAAATTTGACATTGTTAAGTAACAGTAGCTGCGAATTTAGTCTTATGCGATTGCATACAATCTTTACTTAATGATTGTTTAGCCGAAGATCAAGAACCCTTAGGAACCAAAGATTCCTACAAAATGTAGATTCAGTGATTGTATTTGTGTTAATCTAGCCTTATTCACTAATGTAGTTTCGAAGAAAAGTAACACTAGCTGCGAATTGAATCTTCTGTGATGATTGCTCAATTGCAGAATCTGCCTTTGATTTGGTTTGCAGTTTGGACATTGTGAGGTGCGAGAACACATCAGTCCACGATGTATCGATCCTTGGGGACTTCAACACTCCAAATAACGATGGCATAGACATAGAAGATTCGAACAATACTGTCATAACTCGGTGTCATATTGACACAGGAGATGACGCAATCTGTCCCAAGACTTACACTGGTCCGCTTTACAACTTAACCGCTACAGACAGTTGGATCCGGACCAAATCCTCGGCGATTAAACTCGGTAGTGCGAGCTGGTTCGACTTCAAAGGTCTTGTCTTTGATAACATCACTATTTTTGAATCTCACAGAGGCCTTGGCATGCAAATACGCGATGGAGGTAAAAAGATTATTCTTTTAGCTGCATAGAACACAGAAACTCATGTAATGTAACCCCAAAATGTGCCCTTTTACAGGAAATGTGAGTGACATTACGTTTTCAAACATAAACATTAGTACAAGATACTACGATCCATCGTGGTGGGGAAGAGCAGAACCAATCTATATAACAACTTGCCCGCGTGACTCATCTGCAAAGGAAGGCTCAATCTCGAATCTCCTTTTCGTAAACATAACAATCAATTCCGAAAACGGAGTCTTTTTATCGGGCTCTCCAAACGGATTACTCTCCGACATAAAATTCAAGAACATGAACATTACTTTGAGAAGATGGAGTAATTACAGTGCAGGGCTTGTGGATTATAGACCAGGATGCCAAGGTCTTGTGAACCATAGCGCCACGACCGGGATCATTATGGAACATGTGAACGGGTTTAGCGTCGAGAATGTCAACCTGAACTGGTCAGATGATGATGATCTGAATTCTGCTTGGAATGTTCCTCTCCAATTTAGACCTTCTACTGTTAATAATGTCTCATTCGTTGGTTTCAATTCTCGTCTCTTACACAAATTTGTTTAAGTTTGATTATGCTTTGGTTTGGTGAACACAAGGTTGCTTGAATCATTGTATTTGGTTTAGTGGAGATTTGAATTTCTATTTCTGAGAACAAGTCAAAGATTGTAATTAAACTTGAGAATTTGGTTTTGTTGCTTCAAAACGACAACGTTTTGTTCGTGTCCCATTAACGACGTCGTTTCATGAGTGATTCCTCTCACTAAAATCTTTTACTTTCGTCTAATCGATCACATCGAAAATTGGAAATCACAGAAATGGCGTCGACGCAGCCATTGATCGTCGCAGCGAAGACGCTTCGAAACCGGGTATTTTCCCGATCCGGATCTACATCAGCTGGTCCAAGCCGGTGGGCGACTCCAGGTCACGAGGAGCGACCCAAAGGGTATTTCATGAACCGGACTCCGCCGCCTCCGGGACAGTCGCGCAAATGGGAAGATTGGGAGCTTCCATGTTACATCACAAGCTTCCTCACGATTGTTATCCTCGGTGTCGGACTCAATGTCAAACCCGATCTTTCAATCGAGACCTGGGCTCATCAGAAAGCTCTCGAGCGTCTTGAGATGGAGAAACTCGCGACTGCTGGAGATTCGTCTGATTAAAAATCTTTGATCTTTGGATAATGGGTTTGATTCGATGGTTGATCTGGTATGTGTTTTCTGGGGATTTGAGGATTTGAGGATTTTTTTTCCCGTTTATGATGATCACGAACACTAGTGACCTAGGGTTTCGTTTTGT